TGATCATGTGATGCTTGGACTGAGTGGGCTCCTGAACTCCTGGATGTAAATGAACTGTACAATCATTCTCAGAAGACAAGTTAGGAGAGTTTGGATCATTCTCAATAAGTAAATCCACAAATAGTTGTCCTGTAGAAAATATAGGTAAAAGAGATGAGTGAGAGGGCTGGGGAGTGGATATGTGGTGGGACTGAGGTAAGGGTGAGTTTTGGTTAGGGGGCTGAGATTGTGGTGTTGAGGATTCGATAGAATGTGGAGGAAAGAGGGGTTGAGAGAAAAACATAGTGGGGAAAGAGGACTCTTTGGGATCATGACAAGGAGTAGGAAAAGCATAAGGAAATTGATGCTCATAAAAAACTAGATGTCTGGCGACTATCACTTTGTTATTTGGCAGCAAGACTTTATAACCCTTGTGGTAGGGACTATAGCTAATGAACACTTCTTTGCATGACCTAAATTCCAGTTTGTGATTGGTCTATGGTCTGAGATAAGGGTAACACAAACAGCCAAAGGTTTTTAAGGGTTTGTAGTCAGGTTGTTTGTGAGTAAGAACATCAAAAGGTAATTTAAAATGAATGACCTTAGAGGGAGTTCTGTTGATAAGGAAAATCCCATTAATGAATGCATCATCCCAATGCTTATGTAGAGATGTGACTTAGCTAGCAAGGAGAGACCAACTTGAACAATGTGCTTGTGCTTTCTTTCAGCCAAGACATTTTGTCCTGGGGTATAAGGACAAGATCTTCTATGAAGAATGCCATTTTGGTCAAAAAAAAGTTTTTAAAGGCTTATACTCAGTACCCACATCACTTCGCAAGCATTTAATCTTCTTCCCAAATTGATTTTTCAACATGATTTTTAAAGTGGCAAAACACAGCATGGACTTCAGACTTACGTTTGAGCAGATAAATCCAAGTATACCTACTTGCATGATCAATGAATGTAATATAGTATTTGTATCTATTGAATGACTTTATAAAAGCATGTACCCATAAATCAGAATGTATGAGCTCAAGAACATCAAAAGATTTCATTTCAGAATCATTAAAGGGAAGTTTGTGACTTTTATATTGCATACATGCCTCGCATACAATCTAACCCTGAGTGCTATCATAAGCAATGCCACAACTATTAAGGGCCTTCTTAACAATATCCATAGAAGCATGACCTAACTATTATGCCAAACACCAATTCCTAACTTATGTTTAGCAGAATTCACCCACATGGCCTTTTTATTGAAAGCAGTAAAAGTTCTCTTGTGATCTTGAGTAGACTTCTTAATGGCTGATAACTTCACATTGTAGAGACCATCCTCAATTGTCCCTTGGAGTAGAACTTTCTTTGACTGAAGATCCTTCACAAGACAATAAGTAGGATAAAATTCAAAGAACACTGCATTGTCCTTGGCAAATTGGGGCACACTAAAAGGTTTCTTTTTATGTGAGGAACATGGAGATGGTTTTTGAGAAGAAAAATAGGTTTGTTTTGAGTGTTATCTACAGGACTAACTAGTGAATTACCATAATGAGAAATAGACAAACCTGCTCCATTTCCCATGTGGACCTTTTCTGTGCCTTGCTAATCTGTGCCAATGTTGAGATTGTGGAAATCATAGGTGAGGTGACTGTTTGCTCCCGAATCAGGATACCAAGAGCTTTCTGAGGTGAGATCATTCATGTTGGAGCTGGATTTTGGGATTGATCCTTGGCCCACATTGGCTAGGTTGCTGTGGAACTGATCTTGAGGAGCATTGGTCATGTTGTTGTTGTTTCTGGGAACATAGTCCAAGTCAGCCTGTAGAAACACCTTTCTGCAGGGTGATTGTTTCTATGACAGATATGACAACGAGGACCATTTTTTCCTTTGCCTCTAGAGCCTCCTCGAAAAACACCTCTTGCTCCTCTTGAGCTACCACTGCCCCTTCCTTTGAAATTGCCTCTGCCTTGGGTGAAGCCTTGTGAGATAAAGTTGGAAGTGGGGGTAGAACCTTCAATGTTGTACTGAGGGGTTTCTAGCCTTTCCCACCTTGCTTCAAAGATGAGTAGCAATGAAGAGACTTCAGCTAAAGACATCAAATCAGCCTTTGAAGAAATTGAGACTACAATTCGGTTGTATTCTGGCTACACCTGACATGATATGAAGGATCTGGTCATCTTCTGAGATCTTGCATCCTGCTGCTCCTAGGGCATCGCAGCTGCTTTTGATCTTGTTGAGATAGTGTCTCATGCCCTGGCTTCCTCTCTTGGTGCCTTGAAGTTGTTCTTTCAACTGAAAAATCTTGGCTCTGGTTTGGCTTGAAAAGTTGATTTGGAGAGTGGTCCAAATGTCGTGTGCTGTGTTCAATCCAACCACGTAAATGAGTATGCTTTCTGACAAGGATGATAATAGCCAAGAAACAAGAAGATGATCTTGCTTCATCCAACTCAAGACTTCTGGGCTAGTATGGTCATCTGAGGTGGTGAGCTCTGTAGGTGCTTTCTTGTCTCCTGTGAGATACCCTTCAAGGCCATACCCTTTTGCTGCAGCAAGAATTTAATGTCTCCAAATGAGGTAGTTTCCTTCATTTAGTTTGACTGTGATTAGTTGGCTTAAAGGTTGAAGGGCCTATGTGGGTGAAGATGAGATCTCATATGTGAGACTCATGGTGAAACAATTTCAAGAGCTCTGGGTAGAAATCGAAAAGGGGATAGAAGGAAGAAAACAAAAAGAAAGGTATGAGACCCCAGGGTTTTAACCTGGGTCTCTGATACCATAAAGGAAAACAAGAATTCTCATAGCAATGGAAGATTTAAGCAAAGAACATTTCTTTTCGGTTTTAACAGGGGAGATAATGTATTTTCTTGCACCTCACCTATATTCACTACTGCTCTATTTATATACACCAATAGAACAATCTAGACTAAGCATCAATGTGGAATATCTTATGTAATTCTTATCCAAATGCTAACGTATGCATGCAAGGTGGCAGCTCATCCTCCTTTGCTGACGTCATCATAGTACTAGCAGGTGAGTGGATGCAGTAGCAGCAGGTTTCATGTTGTTGTCCTTCATCTGATTGCTCAGTGAGTTTGTTGGAGATGGAAGGGTCGTTAGCAAGTTTACTGTGCTTTGTTTGGACTCTAATATGTTTGGAAATGTGTTCTGATTTTGTTCAATCCTCTAGTTGTATTTGTATTATATCCCATCAAATTGGTTTAACAAAATAAACCCCATAACATCCGATAAGTAAAAAAAATACATAAAATCTTTACTAAAATAAAAAATGCTATATTTATTATCTAATTTGTTATCTAATTGTATGGAAATCAGTTATAATTTTGTTCAAATCGATTTTTGTATATTCAGATTCAAATTTTCTAATAAAAATATTAACAACAATATATATCTATCCTACCCATTATAAATTACAAATCTCAAAATATCGAGCCATCATCTTCCTCACTGTCAACCTTCTGCGAACAAAAAATATCCTCAATCAATCTTTTATTCGAAACAGTGAATCAATGATTTGGGTTAATCAAACAATTCAATGTCTAATAGACCTATGCTCAAAGTTCGAATTGTGAGAATGTTTTTCCAAGACTGGGGCAGGCGGGCAGCACATACAAATCATATCTCGAGTTGGTTTTGCATGATAAAACTGTAAGCCAAATTATTTAAATTTTTGTTTTAATTTCAAAATTTGAAATGTATATTTTAATTTTTTTTATTTCTGTGTATGTATTTAGATATTTTTGTACATGTTTAGTGAAATATAATTTTGATTTTTTTAATTATATTTTTAGATTTGCAATTTGGCTTATTTATTCTACATATCGTGTATGTATTTAGATATTTACATTATTTATATTTATTTCCGTGTATTGGAAAAAAATGATTTATTGAATATTGCATCTTATAATATAATAATCCCCAATTAAATATATTTCGTGCCTCGCACTGGTCACGTACTACATATATCTCGTACATATTTCTTTATTCATTTATATAATTATAAGGCTGGATAAATGACTTAAAATTGTGCACCCCGTGCATCGCACGGGCGCTGTACTAGTTTGTTTATATGGGTATAAATTCTGTCGTCGGAAAAAGAAAAAAGATAATAAGAAGGAATTAGATAAGGAAAATAAGGAATTAGATAGGTATTTCGAATTTGCCTTTTTTTAGTATAGATAGAATTTAAGTACAAATTTTGACTTCACCGATTTTATGAGATTTGTTTTGACAAAATCGATGTTAATATTGAATAAGACAAATAAATAACGCCTTTTTTATTTTAGCAAAAAATTTACGACTTTTTTTTGAGTTATCAGATGTTATGGGAATTTTCTTTTCTTAAACTGATTTATGGGATATAAGACAAATAAATAAAATAATTAAATAAAATTCTGGATAGAAATAGCAATGCATTAATTATACTTTTCAACCTACTAAATTTGATAAATAGGATACCTTATTATATAAGTATAGATTTTTATTATTTACCTTTTAATTTTAGTTTAATTCCTTGCAATATTTAATCTGCCACACGTTATTAGATTATTTTAATTTTCATTTATGTATGGTTTAATTTTTAGTTTAATCCTTGCGACAAAACAACGGCCACCATGTTGAGTAATTATGCTATACAACGACATAAAGGTAAAGTGACAAAATTCTATTGGAAATAATTTGAGAGAATGATACAGTGAAAACACACAACCGTATCTTACCATTTTTTTCATAACTTGATTCTCAAGAAAGAAAAATTAAGGAAAGTGAAAATAGAAAACGTAATACAATAGGAAGCAAAAATATAGAAAGAGAAACAATAAAGACGTAATATTTTCCTAGTCCCACTATAATTTTGCGTTTCAAATTAAACCTAGTTACCATATTTTTTATTCTTCAACAACAAGAAAGTCCAACCTAGTTGTCATATAAATAGGACTATACGCCCCCTATCACATCATACTCCAAATCAACGTCTATTTACTTTAATTCTCTTTCAACCAAAAACCATGTTTTGCTCCAAGGTCTCTGCCAATGGCTCTGTTGCTAATGGGAACCACGGCTCGACCACCATGCTGACGAGCCCCTGCCATCAGAGCCCTAAAACGAAGATCGTTTGCACGCTGGGCCCTTCGTCCCGCTCGGTGGAGACCTTAGAGGAGCTTCTCAGGGCTGGCATGAGCGTTGCCCGATTCAACTTCTCCCACGGCACCCACGCCTACCATCAGGAGACACTCGACAACCTCCGTGCAGCCATACGCAACACCGGTATCCTTTGCGCCGTCATGCTGGACACCAAGGTTTTAACCCTGCATGGATTACTTAATAATATCTTGTCTCATTATAATATCTTGTCTCAAACTCTTATTTTATTTATTTATTTATTTTAGAAGAAGTTGAACTCAAGGTTATTGGTTAGGCTTATTAATATTTTTCATGTTAGGGTCCCGAGATACGTACGGGTTTTCTTAAGGAAGGGAAGCCGGTTCAGCTTCAGCAGGGTCAAGAAATCACCATAACGACCAACTACGACATCAAGGGGGACGAGCAAATGATCTCGATGAGCTACAAGAAGCTAGCCGAGGACCTGCAGCCACAAAGCACCATATTGTGCTCTGACGGAACAATATCCCTCACTGTCCTCGAGTGCAATAGGGATCAAGGGCTTGTCCGTTGCCGTTGTGAGAATACGGCGGTCTTGGGCGAGCGAAAAAATGTCAATCTCCCGGGAGTTGTTGTGGACCTGCCCACGCTGACCGACAAGGACAAAAAAGATATTTTGGAGTGGGGCATTCCTAACAAGATTGACATTATCGCCCTCTCGTTTGTTCGCAAGGGCTCTGACCTTGCTGCCGTCCGAAAGTTGCTTGGTGAACATGCCAAGTCTGTAGTACTCATGTCAAAGGTATATATGCATGTTATTATTTTTTTTTTTTTCCCTCTTTTTGTCAAACTGCAATTTGATCACATAATTAGAATGATATTTGATCATACAAATGATATGTACACATGGCAGGTCGAGAACCAAGAAGGGGTGTCAAATCTGGATGAGATCGTTGCCAGCTCGGACGCATTCATGGTGGCAAGGGGCGACCTTGGGATGGAAATCCCGATCGAGAAGATATTCCTGGCTCAGAAGACGATGATCGAGAAGTGCAACAAGCAGGGGAAGCCCGTGGTCACGGCCACACAGATGCTCGAGTCAATGATCAAATCCCCACGGCCCACACGAGCGGAGGCTACCGATGTGGCCAACGCTGTTCTCGACGGCACAGACTGCGTCATGCTGAGTGGCGAGACGGCTGCCGGGGCCCACCCAGTGGAGGCTGTCCGAACGATGGCTCGGATTTGTGCGGAGGCCGAGAACTATCTCGATTACGACCGGGTTTTTCAGAAGGCTGTGGCTGGCGCCACTCCTGTGGTGCAGCCTGAGGAAAGTCTAGCCTGTGGTGCAGTGCAGGCAGCGAGGTCGGCCAGGGCAGCCCTGATTGTGGTGCTGGGCGACGGGACCTATGTGGCCAAGCTTGTGTCTAAGTACAGGCCCCGTGTGCCGATTGTTTCAGTGGTAGAAGGGGGTGAGAGGGAGGTTCGGGCTGGACACGGGCTGATTTCACGTGGGGTTATTCCGGTGGTGCTTGGTTGTGAAGGTTTGAGTGTTGAGGAGGTGCGGGGATTGGCCTTGAAAGAAGCCAAGCGTATGGGTCTGTGCCGGTCTGGGGACTTAGCTGTGGTGGTGCAGCACAGTGGATGTTGTAGCTCAAATCAAATATTGTGGATCGACTGACTCGTGAATTGGGGACGGGAAATAGTAGGCTGAGCTATATTTTTC